TTTTTTTTTTTTTTTGCAAATATACGTGACGAAAATAAAAAACGCAATTTGAAGAGGACCAAAAAGTTAGAATTATAAAATATACAATACTAAAATTGCATTTTACTCTTAAATAAAATTGACATGTGAGTAATTTCATGTTAAGAAATTGCAAATTTAATCACCATTATATTTATCGTTATATAAGGGTTTTAAATTAATCATTCAACTTATTCACATTAAACCCATGTAATCAGGCGCCAAGTTATCATCAAATTGTTGACATATGTGATGCTTATATTAATTATCCTTGCTTTTTTTCAAATTTTATGATTTATTTAATTTTTTGTATACTAACAAAAAAAAATATTGTTTGAAAAAAAAAACCACAAATTTCTTCAGGACGAATGTCAACAGTCAAAGCATCAATATTCCTCTCATCAATTATTCTTTCGACTAAATATAACGATTTGTAGGTATTTGTAGAGAAATGCGCTCTTATTATAAGATGTCACGCTCGCTTTCACTATTTCCTAATATTTTTAACTGTCCCTTGGAAAATAAAATCAATAATAAATAATATTATTTTTATATATAATAACCTATCTTAAACATAACTCAGAAGTCGGACGTACTTGACTTTCAGATACGTTTACCCGGACCGGCCCAAGTTCGACTCTCGGTTGATTGGGTCCCTAGTCCGGAGTCGAACTAAAGCTCGAGGCCTTATTAAGCCAAGACACTACTTAAAAGAGTTGATAAACAAAGCTAAGCTAGACTTCGGCACGTTTGACCAATATTAATGAGTCGAACTCGAGGTTAAACAAGTCAAACTATAGAAAATTGTATAAAAAAAATTCTATTTTTTAGCGTTAAACTAAACGAGCCCAAGCTCGTACTCATCTTGTTTGAGCTTACGAATAGCTCGTTTCATTCAACATGTGAGCTCACGAATGACTCGTTTCATTTGACATGTCTATTTTCGGCTAAGAGTGGGGAACAACACCCAAAACATATAGGAGCTAAAGCTACGCTCGTTAATATGCTTGATGAAAACTCAATCTCCAACTTGTATATCAGTAGCTCAACCTCTTTTCGTTTACAAAGAAAAAAAAAGTTCTAGAAGAATTAACATCTCGTGAACTTCCAACCGCCCAACTAGGGTTGCAAACGAGTCGAGCGGCTCGTGCGCTCGAGTTAAAGCTCGACTCAAGCTCAAGTTTAACCAAACTCGAGTCGAATTCGAGCAGCTCGAATATGTTATTGAGTCGATCTCGAGCCCAAAATTTCAAAGGTCGGGCCTCTCGTCGAACGGCTCGAAATATGAGGTAAAATACTTAAATACCCTTTATATATATGTAATTCACAAAATTGTCATAGGTGCATAATTTATAGTTGTTAAAATCCGAGCCGCACTAGAGTCGATCTCAAGCATTGAACTAATCTCGAGCATTTCCATTTGTCTCATGAGTCGAGCTGGAGCATCATTTTCATAGCTCATCAAGCTCGAGCTCGAGCACTGAAAAAAAAAAAGAAAAAAAAAAATCGATATATGCTTGACAAGGTCAATGCTTAACTCGGCTCAACTCGACTTGTTTGCAGCGTGAAAAAAAAAAAAGTCAACATATGCTTGACAAGGTCCATGCTTAACTCGGCTCGACTTGTTTGCAGCCTACCCTCAACCAATAACTCTTACATAAAAGACTACAATTACTAAGTTTAAAAAAAAAAAAAAAAATTGATTTCATAACTTTTAATTACTAATGCAAAAGCAAACTAATACAACTGCAATGATAAATTAAAATTAAAATAAAAAACAAAAATGAACATCAAAATAGTTTGATAATTCTTAATCACAAAATGCAAAACAAACCTAAATGCTGACACTAGCAAGCTCCTTCAATAACGACAGAACATCAGCCGACGAGCCCATGAGATACCTTGCGCTCGACCGTTTTCTTCCGACTGCGCACGAAAAGTAGTTCTCCCCTTTTAGGTCAAGAACCGAAGACCCTTCGTGCATTGTCATCCTCTCGCGCATCTGAGACCACCAGTTCCCATTTCCCACAACAGTACTACTATTGGGCTTCCTATCCAGGCTTTGGGTCATGCGAGGAGCCTTGCGGCATGGGCCAAGCCCAGTTGGGTTCGCGGTGGATCTGTTTGGAGAGTTTGCTACCTTGGCTCTAGCAGTGGGTGCTGGTGGGCCCATAGGAAGCTCTGGCTCGAAGAATGTGTATATGTCTTCATCCTATTAACATTTTTTTCGTTAGTAATTCATGAAAGCTCCTTCGGAAACACAAAACAAAAAAAAAAAAAAATCAATTTGGGATATTCTTTCAATTCCAATAAAACGTAATCGTATCAAGTATGAGTTGGAGATCAGAACATATCTGGATAGAACTTCTAACCGATTCTCGAAAACTAATATGTAATTTTTGTTGGGCCCTTGTCGCTTTTTAGGTTCATCAGCGTTCTTATTGGTTGGAACTTCCAATTATCATGGATGATGTCGATTAATTGCATAATGAGAAATTAATGGTTAAGGTAAAACGGCCGGCGTAAAAGTAAATGTCGAAAGCTAGAGGACTAAAATTGCAACTTTTACCAAATCATACCGACCTCATAAGGTAATATTATGTAGGCAAAAATGCATTTTTCAGTTCCAAGGTTCCAAATTTTCGTTTCTTGGTACTTTGAATTAATATTTTGCAACAAATTTTAAATTATAGGCTAATAAAATCAACCCATAAATATAAATTTGGGAATTTTGTTGCAAATTTCAAAGACTGAAATTGCAGCAAAATATGAAATCACAAGACCAAAAGGCGCACGAAATGTTAGAATCTTGGACTAAAATTGCCCTAAGGTGTTAAACCATCATAACTAAAATGCAATTTAGCCTATTATGTAATTTTCAAAATTAGGTAGAAGAAGACACAACTGGCTTACCTTAGTTAGAAAATGCCCTATGCACAAAACATAATCAATCGGAGCTTTCACATCGCAGTGGTGAACAATTTCTCCTAGGATTCTGTCGATTGCAGCACCCTGAAGATGAACCCGGCACAAATTAAAAAACGCATCTTCAGGTAAAAAAAAAAGGAAAAATCAAATTAAAATGTTAAAGAAAGCAACAAAATTAAAGAATTAATTAAAAACTTACTTTGGTAACTCCAACTGCTCGGACTTCAACCGATCGTGCTCCTTGTACGACATCAACAGAAGCATTCGAAATTGGGCCAGTCCACAGGTGCTGTAGCAGATCCTTCGATTGAAGCTTCCCAAACTCAACATCTAAAAAAAACATAATATACTGAACTTAATTAGCCTCAGTAAAAAAGTGAAGGATACACGTAGACCTCGTTCAGACTTAATTTTATTAAAAAAACAACTAAAAATACAAAGAAATTAAAAAAAAATTATATACCTGCATACTTGTAGTTCCAAACGAGTGAGGTCTCGCGAAGCTCAAAATGAGATCGTGGGGTCCGCTCGGTAAAGTACTCAAACACATGCTGAAACGAAACAGAATGCAGTGAAAAATAGACACGACAGTTTTTTTTCTCGACATGTAAATAAAAAACCAACCTTTACACTGTCGACCCAATCCATATTGAGATTCTCAGGCATTGTGGTCATCCAATTACCCGTTGTGCGGCGAAGGAACATCCCGTGCTCTGCCGCTAACCACAGATTATACTCTCCAAAGTTCTGCAGAACGGGTCGGGTCAAGAAAAAAGAGGGAATTTTTATGTGAAAGAAAAAAGAATGATAAAAAAAAAGAAATAACCTCATCGAGAACATTTCTATCACTGCCACTAAGGATGATGATCGTGGTTTTTGGGTCGTCACACAATTTCTTTAGAGGTTCTTTAAGATCGGGATGTAATTTAAGATCCATTTCTTTGAATTGATCGATTCTTCTCTCTTGTGTGTCAACGGGCCCGGTTAGAGTTGCATTAAATCCCTGTGTGAAATTAAAATTAATAGTAATAATAACAAAAATAAAAGAAGAAGAAGAAGAAGAAGAAGAAGAAGAAGAATATCACATGCAGGTGTTTGTTTATAAATTTATCCAATTCATATTCAATTCATACTCAAATCTAACTCAATTTTAACCCAACTCCATTGTCTTCAATTTTATTAATATAATTAAATAATACCAAACAATCATTTTTATACATCACATCAATTTTAATTCACTACGTGCTCACATAATTTTAACTAATCATCACCTCACATCATCTTTCGCCTACTTTTACATCAAATCAAATTTAATTATTCTGTTTTAAATATTATTTTAATATAAATTCAAAATCTCCCTCACAACTAACCATACCATATTTTTCAAAATTAACTCGAGTTGACAAAAAAAAAAACTCATTTTGAGCGGATTAATTTGTAAACAATAATAAGTTTCAGTTGCAGGATTAATTTGTAAACACATTTTGAGCGGATTAATTTTTAACCAAAAAAAAAATGATGGAAAAAATGTTTCAGTTGCAGGAGATTATTTGTTACCAGAATAAGTAAGCGATTATTTGAACACAAATAACGCTCGATTGCTTCTTGTTTAGGAAGTGGAGGTGGAATTTGCCGAGTCCTTAGCTGAGCCTCCACAACAGTGTCATTGAGCTCACTACACACAGAGATCAAAAAAAAGAAGAGGAAAAATGAAGTGTTAAAAACTATAGCAAGCTAAACATGAAAAAACTCATTCAAAATAGCCGTTTGATGAAAATTATTACAGACCTTACGAAAGTCTCGGCCCATTCTTGGGATGTGTGAGTAGTAACGTGTGTGAAATTGTGCTGGTGTCGTTTTTCTCTCTCCTCGGCTGGCATAGTCAGAGCATAACCGATCGAGGCAGCTACTTCTGTAACATTCCAAGGATTTACCAATATTGCCCCTGCACCGAGAGATTGTGCTGCACCTGCAAACTGAGGCAAGAAAAAAGAGAAAAAAAATAATTATATTAAGCTGGTTGTGAAAGAATTTAAGTCAAAATACTAACTTAAAGCAGATTTAAAATAGCTAACCTCACTTAGAATGAGGACCCCTTTTTTAAAAGCTTGGCATGCCACGAATTCATAGCTCACGAGATTCATTCCATCCCTTAATGATGTAACCAGAGCCACATCTGAAAAAAAGCAAAAAAAAAAAATCGAAATGAAAGAGAGAATAATAATATAAACAAAAGGTAAAAGAAAATGTGTGCACTGTACCGGTGACAGCATATAGCGCACATAATGCATGAAAATCAAGGGACCTGTCCTGCAAACACAAGAATGAACAGGGCACGTTATGCAAATAAGAACCTCAATGTGATATATTTAATTTATTAAGATTTCCCTTTCGTAAATAGATTCCAGACTTAGTTTTTTTGAAATTATTTCAGAACAACAAAACAAAAAGACAAGCAGCTATTAGTATGAATTATACTTGTAAGATGAAAAGACAAAGTTCCCTCTGCGAAAAAAAGTCGAACACCAGTCAACGCATCAGAAAATCTTACCAAATGATGTATTGGAACAGCCGTAAGGCTTCCGAATCTCCCATTGATCCTTCCAACAATTTCATGAACTTGGGATGACAACTTTTGATCTGCCACAGGTTAAAAAATAAAAGCAATGGAAAAAAGATTATAAAATCCCAAGAGGAAAACAGAGAAGAGAGAGCATAGAAAAGAAAACTTTCAACTAAGTGGAAATGAGGATAAAACGATACTCACACTCGGGAACATCAGTCCTAGTTGGCACAGCAATTTGCACTAATACTACTTTGTCACGCCAAATGGGATTTTCTTCAAGGAATTTTTCGAAAGCCAAAATCTTTTGCGGTATTCCCTTGATCATATCAAGACGATCAACCCCAACCATTACCTAATCACAAACATGCATAAGCAGCCATTAGCTACTGATAAGATGCAATAATTAGCCAATAATATATGAGTACTTAATTTGGTTCCTTCACATGCAATAATATTTCACCTTCCTCCCTGCAAATCTCTCTTTCAACTCTCTAATGTGATCTTTCACTTGTGGAAGATCGAGAGCCCGAATAAAACGTTCTGAATCTATACCGATTGGAAACTGTACATCACAAGCCAAATCAGTAGCCAAGCATGACGTGTGAAATAATAATAATAGAAAAAAAATAAAAAATAAAAAATTGTCGGCACTTGACACTATATAAGCTTTTTTACCGCAGCCACACGAGTCAGCTTCCCATGATCCTCCACACCATCCGGCGTACCCTCGAGCCCCAGAATACGAGTACACGCACTTACGAAATGCCTTGCATAGTCATAAGTGTGGAATCTTCAAAAGGAAAATCAACACACTATCAGATTTTCCCAAGCAATCAATAACTACTTAGCACTAACACCTTATTCATTTAAAATAATAAAAAATCTATCCATATATAATTGCTTACAAAGAATTCATTAAAAACTCATTTTGTTTTCTCGCCTTTTTCCGTTACTTTTGCATTAATCAAACAATTATATTTTTATTTGTTTATTTTATTATATAGTTGCTATTATTAACTAATAATAATAAAGTCACATTCAAATGTTATTCTATTTTAAATCCTTTTTCAAACTATTTATTTAAAATAATAATAATAATAATAATAATAATAATAATAATTATTATTATTATTAGTTACCTCATTTAAAATAATTATTATTTTGTCACCTCATTAATTTTTTTTATTAAAATTAGTTAATTATTTTTTTATGGCATAACCAAACCCTTTAAAATTTTGTATACAATTTCTATAATAATAAATTTTCAAAATTGTTTTATCCAAATTAATTAATCATAATCAACCACCAAGACGACTGCATAAATTCAAAGATTAATATGTCAGTTAAATACAGTTTATATTTATATCGTTCGTTTTTACTAATGATAAAATGTATAAAATTAATGTGATGTTCTCATTAATCTAACTTATGATTTTTAAATTTTACATAAAAACACATATATACAATGTATAATTTTTTATTTGCATATGTGCATAATCGAAATAAAAGAGGAACCCACCCGACTAAATCTGCAGCAAGAACCGATCTCAAAAGCTCGGTTCTCGAGGGAAGAGTTCGGTGTATCTCGGAGGATGGGAAAGGTGTGTGGAGAAACCAGCCGACTTTCATCTTCGAGTTGTGATCTTTGAGGCATTTGGGTAGGAACATGAGATGATAATCGTGGCACCAAACCACATCACCTTCTTTGTAGTGCTCGTTTACCACGTCAGCAAACATTTGGTTGGCTTGCTTATAAGCTGCAAACTGAGATTGGAAGCTTCGAGTTGTAGCCAGCCGATCCTCTTGGGGGAGGCCGAGGTAGTGAAAAAGAGGCCAAAGTATGTTGTTACAGTAGCCATTGTAGTATTGGTGGACAATCTCTTCATCTAGGAATACGGGAATACACCTCTGACAAAATGAGTCGAGCGTTAGTTTATCGTTTTAAGACAGCTTTGAAAAAGAAAAGTTTATGTCTAAAAGAAAATACCTTTTCAGCTAGAGCTTCGGTTAGTGTCCTCTGTCCGATTTCATCAGGAACATTCACGCCAGCCCATCCAATCCATCTAGCTTCAAACTCATTGATACCTTTCATGGACATAATTGGAACTAATGACGTGGCTTGATATATATGTAGCAGAAGCCAAAAGTTTATGAAAAATCAGTTACCCTTGAATCAGCCAAGAAAAAATGTTTTTTCTTTTTTTTTTTGTGAATAAATTATAACGATACTTATCTTTGATTAATTAGTTGGTATTTCATAACACTAAAAAGCATCTTCTTTTGTACCCCATTTCGATTCCAGAAGTTGACGAACAGCTTAACATTAATTAGTTGCAAACACTCCTTATGACACAACTGATAATCATAAAACTAGAGATTCACATAAAAGTATAGGCAAACATAAAAGGCCAAACTCCTTTTTCCCTCTCTGCATAAAGACACAAGAATTACGTATTTTTCTTACCCAAAAGTGCGCTAACTAAACCTCCAACACTAATCTCGAGCGACCACGAGTCTTCACTCTTCCTGATAGCCGAAACAGGTAAACGGTTAGCCACGACGAGTAACCTCTGCTTCTGTACCTGAGTGTCCTGTTTTTCCCACACATCAACCGAATTATTTGCTAAAGCATTATTATTCCCTTCAGATAGTAAATCTTCATCTTGGAAACCCCTCTCGCCATTACGTAGTTGCAGTTCGTTTATGTTCCCGAATAAGTCCAAATCACCATTACTTTCTCTCGATTCCTCGTTCAAGTAGAAAGACCTGTTGGATCTTCTCAGCTCACGTTCTCTTATAAGTCTTTCGAGTCGGCTCGTGGGTATGGATGGGTTCGAGCCATTCGGGCTGTTGAGCCTATTGGTGATAAATAGTTCGTCCTGCAGCAAATGTATAAAGATGCATACTTATATTCATCAAGAATCTTGCTAATTGGATGACTTATTAGCATTTTTTTTTTCATTACCAATATGGGACATGATAATGAGAATGGATTTCATCAAAGATCAGCTAAATCTTCGAACGAAAATTCATCACCACTGATGATTACACACACACACACACACTCAAGTGAAACGAGATACTGATCTATCCGTGTCGATCGGCTACCATTAACAATACTAAAAAGCACCAAATGCCCATCTAATGTCTTTCTTTCTACATTGTTACATAACCCAAAACTAGCACAAGCCCAGATGAACAAATTTTACCAGACAATCATGAAACAACAAGAGAATACCAAATGGCTTGCCAAAATAACACAACTGTTCAAACATTAACTTCAAAATCAAAATCAGGGAAAAAAAATTCACCAACAAATAACTTCACAAAATCAAACAAATACACAAAATAAAAACAAATCAAGGCAAATGGGGCTCTCACCAAATTGCTCTTTCCTTCAAAAGCTGACATCTTTCTTTCACTCAGACCCGGCCCGAATCTGTTCCGCCATTAAAACACGTTTCTTTCAACAGCCCACATACAGACGAGTGGTGTTCAATTCGGCAAACACAAAGGCTGTGAAAATGTCAAGATGCGAATAAAAGACCCAAAAAAAAAAGAACAAAATCAGGTGCAGATTTGTCTACACCATTTATGGAGTAATGGAGAGAGAGAGAGAGAGAGAGAGAGAGAGAGAGAGAGAGAGAGAGAGGAGGGTTTTAATAAAGCACAACTTTTTGTTTCTGATTTATTTAGAATCTTTGGGGATTGTGATCGGACACAGCTTTTTCTTCACTATTCCGCCATGCAAAGAACTCTGTCACAGGTGGGCAAGCAAACAAGCACTTATTTAGAAAAAATGGGGAGACCCTTTTTGGAATTTAATAAAAGAATGGGGTCTTTTTAACAATTATAAATTAATTAAGGAGTCGGTTTCCAGCCCTGATATTCTCATCTGTGAAGGTCCAATGATATCTTTGAGAATCTGTACGTATTTGCTAGATTTCCTTTTTATTTACTCTTTTTTTTTTTATTCTTGAAGGCCCAACAAAAGTGGGGTTTATTGGGGCTATATGAGGAAGTGGGGAATAAATTCTTTTATGGTAGGCCCAGTAATTTTCAAACTTTATGAGAAATTTATCTGACACACGCTTGGCATAATTTTTATTTTTCACATAGACGAAATTTAATATTTATTTATAAACAAACGAGACTAGTACTAATAAGTAATACCCATGTACAACATGGATGTTGAGTTAATGAATATATGTGTAAAGTTATTTATGTCTAATATCAAACCTAACTCCAGAACAAAAATAATATAAAAACAACATCACGCAGCATAGATTTTCGCCATGTCAGCATCTGAAACGTGAGAATCTGCCACCTAGACTCAACGCGTTTTGAATTAATATATAGGAGATTAGTTTAGAGAATAAAAAGAGGTGCACATTTATTTCGAAATTTCAATAATTTAGTTGATTAAGTTAAAGAGGATTGTATCTTTCTAAAAAAAACATTTTCGATCCGAAATTTCAGAGATGAAGCACAACCGCCCGCCTGCTTCAGGCCGATTGTTGCACCCTCCGTACCAGCCTTGGCCGAGCCGAGACTGGATGGCGTTTTTCCACCCCTTCTGGAGCCTTGCGGGAGAATTGGTCAGTGTGGGCTACGCCGAACCGTCTTTCTCCTAACTTTGGTCGAGGTCGTCGGCCATAAGCTACTACCTCCGACTTCAAAATTATGTCGGCCTGTCGGTTTGTTTGGTCTCTTGTGCCTCAACCGCGCACAGTTGTAGGTGATCTCTTCTTTGACCTAGTATTCGAGCCCTCTGATGTGGCTTGTCGGTGCTTTCGTGGCGGCTACCCCCCCCCCCCCNNNNTCCCCCTTCCCCAGTGTTGATAACCTTCAGAGCACAAGTTTGGAACAAGAGTTGCCTCTTCGTCTGTCTGTCTAGGTGGTTCTTTTTTTCCCGCAGTTTTTGGGTCTAGTGTCTCAATTTCTGGTGTTTTGGGCATTTGTGTCGTGGTCTATGACTCGAATGCAGGTTTGGATGGTCGTACGGTCTACCTGATAGGTTTAGGGACGATGTTATTGTACTTGTTTATTAGATGTGCGTCATTTTGTTTTTGTCTTTCTTTATTTGTCGTTTGTTTTAGTCCAACAATGACTGGTCCTAGTCTCTTTTATAGAGTTTGGGTCGCCTTTATGGAGTTTTTTTGCGGTTGTTTGTGTGTCCTTGTTGGAGTTTGCACGGGTTAGTCCAAATTTTGTTCTTGTTCCAGTAGTGTTCATTGAACCTCGATTGTACTCTTTTGAGTTTTAAGTTATTAGTATAATTGTTATTGACCAAAAAAAAAAAAAAAAGTTGATGAAGTTAGTTCTGCATTTTTTTGGGATATCATGTCAATCTCAATTAGATAGTGTACAAATCCATTTCTTCTGCAGACTCTGATAATCAAATTGCTCTTCAAAGAATGTTGGACGTATCCATTTGCTTGTTTACTTTTTTTAAATTGCTCTTATGAAGAAGAAAAAAACATCAATAATTAAAGAATACCTATGTCAGAAATACGAGAGCATGGTAATGAAGGTAAGCCACTGAGTAACCTCAAGTCACCATCGTCGATAAGAAGGACAAGGTCGTAAGAGGTTTTGTTCAAGTCGGTAATAAGGTCTTTGTAATCTTGGTTCGGCTTTGGGGGCTTATGATGTTCGGGTCTCTCGTGGATCCGTTTGGGAGAGAAGTCAAAGGTCCCTGTGGGGTCACACAAAAATGTATTTAGATTGCCATTTGGGGTTGCTGGAATGGTGGTTGTCAAAGAAGTTCGCATTATTGTAGCGAGTAAAGTAAATGAGCCTTTTTAGGTCTTCATCCAATAACAATAAAAAAAAATAGGATCAAAAGAGTGAAGTATTCAGCGGTTTATACAATAGCCTGCTATGAAACGAATGGCGTTGGGAGCAAAGTTGTTTAAGGGAACTCCATAGAGCTGAGCTAGCTCAAAGAGTTCACTTTTCAAGGGAAATATAAGACCCGCGTATGTCTGGTTTGTAAAGAAGATATAAGCCCTCAGGGGGCTTGAAGAAAGAATCCCAACTTTTGGAATCCAAAACTCCCAGGACCTAAAGTATTCAAGCTCAATACCCAACCAAGCTGTAAGGATTGGGTCTAGCAGCCTCGACCAGATTGGGAGAAAGAGTGACCTAAGCGCCTTCGGTGGCAGTCACCTAGCAGGTTGAGGAGAAGCTAAAGAGATAGCAACAAGGAGAATGATTTAGAGGATTGAGAAATTGTCAAAAAGAGAGAGAGAGAGAGAGAGAGAGAGAGAGAGAGAGAGAGAGAATGGGATGGCATAAGTAGTCTCTGAGGAAGTCTAAAAAGATAAAAAAAAAATAAAGATAAAAGCTTCAAAGAAAAATGAAATATATAAGAAGAGGTCTAGAACGTACCCATCAACTTTACGCAAAGAAGTGTCTGAGAAATTGCCGAAGTTACAGAGATGAGTTTGAAAATTCGAGCCAAGATGAAAACCAAAAAAACATGTTTCTATAGAAAATGAAAGTGACGAGTGCAAGTGAAGAGTATAGGAGTGGTATAGGAAGGAACGAAGGCTTATAAGGGTTTCTATAAGCAATGGAAGGAAAAAAAAAAATTGACCACTGGAGGGCACGCACATTAAGGGCCCATATTTACGCAGAATACAATAAGACGTGCGCACGTTGGCATATGACTTGTCCAAGTATTGAGATCTGAGCAAGTAAGGCATATCTTATGCACCTCACATTCTTCCAGATCATCGAATATTATATTGAACATAAAAGTATACCACATACAAAGGTTTGGTGAAAAGATACATTTCAGCACAAGTCCAGACAGTTCATTCAAAAATTGGGGGGCTAGATGATGTAGCACTTAGAATAACTTGACAACTAGATTGGAGTAGATGGTTTGACTAGACCAGACTGGGGGAGCTCTGGTTGTTTAGAAATAAGTAATCCGGCCAAGGAGCTCGCATTCGAGCTTAAGGTACTGGTCGACCTAAAGAAGACGACCTGGAGGTACCAACTCTTGGAGCTCGATAATAAAGTCGACCTCGAGGTATCGAGGTCGTAAGACCTGAGGTCGGTTAGACCTCGGGAGGAGGTCAAGTTTGACCTCGGCTAAGTCACAACAAGTAGGCCAGAAGGTTGGGGTTACGGCTGTTGGTGTTATATACTTAAGCTTTTCTTTAGTGGATATTACACTTGTTATTTCTTGATGAATGAAAATTATGTTTGGTTAAATAAGTTCCACGTTCTGTTGTTTTGCATGTAGATAAGTGGGTCGTCATCGGGCGTACCGAAGATCACTATATCAGTTACTTGCGAAACAAGAATCATTGGTTCACAACCTAGATGGAATTGAACAACCCATCAGAACAGTTGTAGTGTTAACCGTACGGTTTGTCTTGACCGATTAGTTGCACTAGTACATTTATGTATTGAACAGGATCCCAGAGAGGGATGTTCGTTTTATACTGATCGTCGTAAACAAACTAGGCCTCAGTTAATTATTGCGTGCTCTTAACCCGTAAGATATTAAATAGGCATGTGCACATAATTGTTGTTGCTTTGATTCTTTGGGTGAGATCCAAGCCGGGTCGACATACTTAATGAATTGGGTAATGACATTATGTGTTTGATGTGCTATTAGGATATTTACGATCACCATGTGCGTTAGTATGATGATGTCCCCGAAGTGAGTTCATGAAGGAATATTATGCTAACCCCCTGCAGGTGGATTTATTCCGGCATAATATGAATGCTATGAACGAGCGCTAGCTTCGGTAATATAATATATTAATTAATTCTTGATTATTAGTGATCGAATTAATTAATGGACATTATATCTTAAACATGGGGAGGTAAATTGGATAATTATAATAAGGAGTCTCAAATGTAATTTGGGATAGGTGAGGGGAGTGCAATAATATTATTGTGGTGGACTTTAATATTATTAATATATTAATTGTGGGGTTGCTCCACAGTATTAATATATTAGAAGCCCTTATCCTATTCTCCTTAGGGTCCCTACTGTAGCTCTATATATATATACAACATTAGGCTCATGGAAGAAGAGAACAATCCCACAACCTTGGGAAACATGTCCAGCCCTCTCTCTCTCTCTCTCTTCCAAGGAGTAGTTCTATTTCTTGTGCTCCACTGATACAAGATCTAGATAGCTGTTTGAGAATACAGTAGAAGATCTTAAGGTATATACGGGATTCCAATCAGATCTATCATACATCCAAACTGGAAACCAAAACCAGCAAGTGACCATACCACGACGACCAGGACGGCGAGACGAAGAGATCGCCGTCGAGATCGCCGCCAGCCGCCGTCGCACGCGCCGCCAGAATGGAGCAGCTGTCGGAGCTTACTCGCGCGCATGAGAGCGCGTGAACCGTCCGATTTCCGATCGGTCAACGCCGTGACGCCAGCTTTCCGGATTGGTCAAGTTTGTTCGATTCCGAGAAGATTTTATTTGCGGTCAACTGTTCGGGCCAACCAGATCTACATAAATTTTAAGCAGTAAGTTTTCTTCATCAAACCTTTAGATCCGCTGCGCATAGGTTTATGTTGAATGTTTGTCCGTGATTTGTGCATATCGAGATCCTCATATGTCCCAACAACGGCCTGGGGATCTAAGGGTTGCATAGTAACGGAGAAAGAATCATAATAAGAAGGAAAATATCACTTGTTCAATAAGACTTGCCCAAATAGAGACATGGTAAGTTAGGAAATATGATCAGGTTGGATCTCTTTCCTAACAAGGACTATTTTGAACATTAAGACAACTATCATATTGAAGGATGTTAGGTTATTCTTCATCAAGATACCACATATTCTACGCCCTAAGTTGTTTATTTATATATATATATATATATATATATATATATATATATATATCTGTTGAGCAAGTTATGACTTAAGCACCAGAGGTTTTCTGTCGGGACCCTCTTTTAGCATATTGCAGGTCACCGGAGCTCAAAGATGAAGGAGGTTCACGGCGTAAGCAGTTCAACCCGGTTGCGACAATAAGTGATGCAACATTATGGAGTCCTAATCATTTAGGAAAATGACTACATAATATATATCTTACATATATTCACTTACCATCTATACCACTTTCATTAATTACAAGGACTCCACATCATAATTAGTTTTTCTCTTTCTTGTAGGACAAGGAATATCTGTCAACAACTATAAATAGATGAAATACCCACACACAAAGAATCTTGGATGTTTTGGAGAAGATCTAACAATGATTTGGAAAGGTTCGCTACAGAATTTATAAGATTTGGAAGATTGGGTGTTTTAGAAAACTAATGTTCCTGCACGATTTTTGAAATGCAATTATGAAGATCTCAAAAACACATACACGGATTCTACTTGAAGAAAATTTACTCTAAATGAAGGATGCTAAAGATCATGCCAACATAAGATGTTCTTACCTAAGTAGGATTTGTCTTTTCTTTATGTATATATATATATATATATATATATATATATATATATAAATATATTAGAACACAAAATCTAGAGAAAAGACTTGAGTTTTATTGTTCTCTCCTGAACATATTGAGTTATTTTATTCTATGAGAGTTCGTGTGATTGTTGTATATTTTATAGCTTGTGAATTCAGAATTTCAGTTTTGTGTTTCAACATCTTTAAAAGACTGAAGCGTATGACCTTTGTACTTTTAGGTACTTTTAGCTTGGATGAATTTTTGTAATAGTTGGCAGTCCAAGTTTTGGCCAGGGAAGTAGTCAATGGGATTGGGTATGGTTATGGTAGGTTTAGGAGTGAGTCTTTTACTTGTAATTCCAAACTATATATTGCGGGTCCAATTTGCTAATGAAATAGCTCTAAAGGATAGTGGATGCTCCCCAAAGGCAATTTGTTAATTATCTTTTCCGCTTACGTTTTTTGTTCTTACACACGTTGCACATCGTATCTTTCCAACCCTTTTTTAGGTAATTATGTAAAAGTTGGTTTGTGGTGAGTCAGCCATGCGTGGAAGGGATTTGGACGTATTTTATTTTCTATTATTCTAGATTATGGGGCGACATATATTCAAGTTGAATTTTAACTATAAGAATTTCGTGATTAAAGAAGTTGAGGAATTATTGGGACGGTTGAAATAAACTAGCAAATTTATCTTTTCAAACGGTTAGTGATTTTTGTTATCTTGAGAGCAAGCAAATAACTAAGTGTAGGGGAGTTGTGTTAGATGTGTTTGTATTTATTTTTGTTTAATTTATGTGTTGATCCGAATCATTTTTAGGTTTGTTTTATTGTTTAGTTGGTCCATTTTAGTTTGTTTCGTGTATTTTTGCTTTTGTGTTGCTTTGTTGTGTTTTGTCGTACTTTTCTGTGTCAATATTGGTGTCTTTCAGGTCCGTTGTTTGATGGACAAGAATCAAGCCACTAATTCCGAGCACATGGAGTCACAAGATATTATTTTCATGTGAAAAGTTAAAAAATTCAGACCCGAGCACATTGTTTAGCAAGAACATGCAAACACCCACAAATGGCCTCCATGATGCTCGTGCACGCCTGCACTTCGCACATGATGTCTGCACAGCCTCGAAGTTTCTCATCTACACATGTTGTCTGACCCTGTGCTATCACCGAGAGATTGTGCGCAACACTTGCAGTCGTCGTCGAGGACCCCTGCACATGCACGCAGCATAGTCGTGCACAACGCACATGTTGCTGAGACTCGCGACCAGCGAACCTTTCGTCGGGTCGCGAGTGCCCTTCTCGCCCAGTGATGACGTCTGCTGTACGTGAGTGTCCGCTTTGCCCCCGCTAGCCCAGCATTATCGAGACTCGCAACCAGCGAACCTTCTCACCAGGTCGCGAGTGCTGTCCTTGCCCAATGACACTACCAACCAGCACGCAAGTACCACGACTTTCCCGTGTTCATTTAGCGACACTATCCGCCAGCATGCGAGTACGCTTGCGGTCAGCCAACCACTTCACAGCTCGCAAGTACTAGCGAACTAGTTCACAATTGGCAAGTGTGTTTCATTAATTGTGCATGTTTTAATGTGTATTTTGGTTGAGAGTATAATTACATTAAGTCATTTGTATTTTGGATCATTTTTCTTATTCTAGTTTAGGAATTATTTATTTTCAAATTTTTTCCCTTTCTAGTTTTGTTATGCCGACTTTGTGAGCTCGAAGACTCATTCTTTTTTATGTTGTCGTTTTAATTAAAATTTTAAAATTTTCACTTTAATTTCGTTCGAACACATATTATAAAGGAGAGTACCTAGGTATGATTCATTACTTCGTACTTGCTCTATTTTTGCTTACGAAATTGTTCGAGGGAAGTGTGGTGTCTTGGTCGAAATTTAGGTTGTATCGACTCGCTTTAGTTCAAGTTTCGAGTTTTTATCTTGTTTTGCTTATCTAGTTTAATTACTTAGTTAAAGTTAAAATATTTCAAGGTAAAAGTCGAGGCTTTGGTAGAAGGTCGGTTATTTCGTATTGAATGTTCGACTTTAGATTCTAATTGTGTTAGATTTAGCTTGTTTTCTCTTTGTTTTCATTTTTCCTTGAGTACTGGAGACTCGTGCTAGATAAAGTTCAAATCTTAGTTCACACCTTGATGTCATCGTTTTTAATTCATTAGGTTAATCTAGCTTAAAATCAACCCTTAAGACTTTTATTTTCTCATTTTGTACTTTGTCGACAACTTACCTCCAAACAATTTCCTTTGTGACGACCCGAGGTAGGTCTTTACGATCGACTCGGTAAAGGTACTACTTAACACTTACATATATAAATATTCTAAAACCATTTCCGTCATTAGATGTCGATCGTCACCGGTCAGTAGGTTAATTGTGTAGTGGAAAAAAATAGTTTAAATGTTTGTAAAATTATATTATATATACATGTGAATGAAATTTTACAAATTATATTTGAAATTTAAATTTTATATTTAGTATACACAATGTGAATAAACTTTTGTAGTCTATGTGATATGTTAAATTTTACTTAATTATAATTAAGGAATCAAATATTCAATAACTTTAATCGATTATATTTACATTGGAGTTAAAAGTCGTTCGACTCCCTGTAGAGAGTGAATAGCGACTCTTACTCACAGTACCCTCGTCCGTACAATTGTAAAATTTCCCCAAAATCTCCGCCGCAAACACACCGATGACGGCGGCTCCTCCGTCTCTTCTTCTGCTCTCTCTGCTCCTAATTTCTTCTCCTCTCTCGCACGCCTTGTTCTTTTCCAACTATCAATCTCTATTTTCCCTCTCCCACTCCCTGATTTCCCGGGTCGCCACACTCCGCCTCGCCCGCGGCGATTTCGTCGGCGCGGAGCGGGCCAGGACGCTGGCCCGAAACATCGAGCGCTTCACGGGCCTGGGCTTCTACAAGTTCGCCTGGAACGTGGGGTGGGAGTATGTGAGGAATTACGCGTGGGGAGACGCGGCGTCGTTTCGAACCCTAGGCGGCTTAATTTCAGATCTGAACGAGCTGCTGGGAGCTCTGTATGAGCTGAACCGGATCGATTCGGACGCGGAGAGGGTCGCTTGGATGGGTCGGAATTACAAAAAAGCCCTTGGTCTCTCGAAGTCGATCTTTGCTCGGCTGCTCACTGTTTTCCGCCAATCCGTATGTGTAGCTGTTTTGTGTTCTTGCTTTTAGTTTCTTAGGGTTTAGTGTTTTACCTGTGATTGATATTGCTTGGGAGAAAAAAAAAAAAAATCGATCTTTTGATTGCTTAAATGGTGTTCGAGGGATTGGTGATAAAAATGGCTAAACTTGTGTTATTGGTTACTTGCATTTCCTATCATCCTGTTAATCACTGTTTCAATCGTGTCGATTGAAAATGGCAGGGGCCGTTGCGCGAAGCCGTGGAGGTTTTGCAGCAAGAAGTTTTGGAGGGTGGTTTGCTGAAAGACTGCCTTGAGTTGGGTTCTGATGATCTCAAGGGCTTGATACAAGTTGTTAAGGACATTGCCTTCCAATATTCCTCAGGTTCTTCCAAAACCGACTTGTGAAAAGGGACATTTAGTCGAGAGTTAGGATTGTAAACTTAGAAGCGTTGTTAAGGCCGATCAAAGAACAAAATCTGTCTTTTAGATGCGTTTTTAGTTGTTTCTGCTGTTTATAGGACGGATTCTTTTAATCTTTGAGTAGCGAAGAGTTGTAGAAATAATGCCGAGTATTCTTATTTCACAGTGCTTCACGCGTATAAATTATCATATGCGAGTTTATGATGTGCTGCTTGTATTGGTGAACAAAGCTAAAGTTCCTAGCTTTCAATTTAAAGCAGAGGCTTTCCATATTAGACTGAGATTTCGAGAAGCATGTCAATGGTCTTTAAAGAAATCGGTATATCTCTCTATGTGGCTCATTTGAAGCCTATTGCTGATTTTCTTTCCTTCAGCCTTTTTAGAGCTGTTAACAGTAGAATTCGGAGCTGTTACCCGTGCAGGGGCAATATGAGGACAGTTTTCTCATGATGTTGGTTTTTCCCTGCTTGTCCATAGTTACGCTTTCTCATTCCCTTAACTGAAAGTTAATAACCAAAAAGAATCGGATCAAATGTGTTCGAGACTAGAAAATCGCAGCCCGACATGTTTTGCCAGTGTTAAATTAAACGAGTCTGGTTCGGCTCCTTAAGGCTCGAGTTCGGCTCGTTTCTGGAGCTCATTTAAAGCTCGTTTGATTAATGAGCCGAGCCTCTTTCTCTATCGGCCTAAAAAATGCTAATTAGAGACTAGATGTTGACCGATAGGATTAGAAGGAGCAACGTCTTTGACTTGAATTCGGTTTGCTTCGTCTCTGCTCTGTTCATTGAGGATTCCTCGGTGCTAGGCACCAAAAGCTTATAAAATTCTATATTTCGGCTCGTTAAAACTCGAGATCGGCTCGTTAAAGCTTGAACGCGGCTCGTTTTTAGTGATAAATGAGTCGAGCTCGAGCTCTATTTTAGGCTCGTTTATTTAATAAGCTGAGCTCGGCTCGGCTCAGTTCGTTTACAGGCCTAGTTTGGGTAGTGCAGAAGTGAACAATCTCAATTTTCTTCAATGATGCTATCTTCTTGGATCTTACACATATGAAGTCAAGTTTCTATGACGTTTTTTGTGTTTCTAAGGATATTATTATTGATCAACTTAGCATGAAAATGAGTTGGAATAACGAAATTAGTACGCCATCAAGAATCACAACACGGATCAACCTCTCCGATTCCATGTCTTTTTTTTTTTAAGAGAATCAACATTGTTCTCACTTCCCTTTTTGGTGACTCGAACTCATAACCTGTCGGTCATAGGTGAAACGTCTTATCACTAAGTTGCGCTTCGTTGTCCCTTCCGACCCCATGTTAGACACTCGGAAAAAAAAAAAAAAAAAAAAAAAAAAAAAAAAAAAAAAAAAAAAAAAAAAATCTTCCGTTAATGTTTAGCAGTGAGCATTATTGGCTGTGTTCTTACATCAAAGATTGGCATCAACAGTGCATATGGATATAAAGTCCACACCACAAGACTCTCTCTCATTTTGCTGTCCTATCTATCAGCATTTCACATCACACGCATTGGCCCGCATGTGTGCAAAAGTGAGTTACAACTTTACAATTTGCAAACAAGATATTGACTTATTAAAAAAAAAAAGCAAAATTATTTACTAGAAAATGCGCTCCCACCCCCAACTGCCTGATTTAATTGGAACAGCAGCAGCACCACCAAACCTAAAATCACATGTGCAATAAATGATACCTAAATTAGTCAAGTATATTTTTGCTTCTGTTTTTTTTACTTAATTGGATATTTATATTGGATATTCATATTTTTCCAATGCATATATAATTTAAATTAATTTAAATTGAAATTTCAGTATTTAAAAAAAATATATAGATAAAACTATGAGCTTGCATGAATTAATTGTGTTTTTGTTATGTTTTAATGATTCATTCACCTCATAATTTAAT